AAATATTCAGATATTTAATCAAAATGAAGGTCGAATATTCAAAGAGTGAATTATTCGAACTGACTCAGCCCTAATATCAAATAATGGGGTACACGCAATGAGATAATCTGATGCCGGTCATTTGATAAAGTAATTTGACCAAATCTTTGATATTAGCCAAATCAAGATGATTTCCATTTGGCAAAATTCATCTACAGTGCATTTTCCATTCTCACAATGGGGCAAATCTGCGTTCCACTGAGATTCATTCAACTTGTAGGGCAAATTTCACCCCACTAGAGTTTTATTTTCCTTCATTTTCACATGGGGACATACATGTATTCAACTCTGGAATCATCATTCATATACATGTAACAATATGATTCAACGTTAATACGGAATTTATGTTCCACTTAGATTCATTCCTCTTGTAGGGCAAATTTGACCCCACTAGAGTTTTTCCCTTCATTTTCACATGGGGACATACATGTATTCAACTCTGGCATCATCATTTCATATAAAAATATGATTGAAAGTTAATTAGGAAAATTAATTACCAATACCGTTTTCCTCATTTTTGAGTTTTGAGTGGAGCGTTACATATTAGGTGAACAAACAATCCTTAATTTGATTACGTCAGGTCAAGCATTGGACAATGCCATTCTCTAGCACTCAATGGCAGTATAAGATAAATTTTCTGGCAATGTAATTAATCCCTTCTCATAGTTGAGGTTTAGGACCTCACTGTTTTGAGCATTATATTTTCCGTTCCATAGCCAAATTTGTACCATAATAAATACGGCTGATATAGATGTGGCAAAAATTCATGGTATTCTTGCCTTGTCTTGTCAAAATGCCAACCTGCACTCTACGTCCTTGATAATTTCCTTCCTTCTCTTTAGGACAGACCAGCAGTGACCGATAACCCAAACACTATTATCAGCACACCAGACAATGACAGGAAAGGGCAATGACCCTTCATCAGTTTGCGTTACTCAACTGACATTGCAAAACAATGAAGCAAGCAATAAATGGTTACGTATGTGTATATGAGTGTCCTACCTGTGCTGTACATGTACAGGTATAATATGTACATATAGATGTACGTGTACAACACTATGGAGAGCTGGTGGAAGTGAAATTGGGGTAGGCCAATACGGGCGATTCACAATAGCGTGCCACCAAGAGTTTGCAACATGTTGGCCAATCATAACGCGCAAAATTTGTCGACCCTTTCCAAACGCGCATTGGGTCGACAAATTTCGCGCACTGTGATTGGCCAACGCGTTGCGAACTCTTGGTGGCGCACTATTGTGAAACGGCCATATTGGCCTTCCACAGTTGTACTTTATGTCCTTCTCAAGTCCTGAAAATGGAAAACTTAACTTTGGTACTAACTGTGAAAAACAAAACAAATAGCATGCATTGGTTAACAAAATAGCAAGGATCAATTAAAACAATTTCCGTGAAATAAACAAATGAATGCAATGTGCTTCATGACTGATCAAAGTTCATTCTGACACTTAAAAAGATTATTCTGAGTTTACTGGAGGCTTTCATTAGCCTGTTATGTTCTAACAAAATGAGAATGTTGTGTCTGCGGTCAGTCAATTCACATTCATATGTTGCAGGGTCAGTTATGTTTATTCATTGCATCCATTGTGCACACGTCACTCTGGGGATTTGGAACGTGGTGCTACCTTCTGATGTGCTACTGTACTTTATGAATCTGATGTGTTAAACAGAAAGCATGCAAAGAACCAACATCAAAACAAAGCACATGTGTATCATGTACCTGTGTATGAAAAAACAGATACAAGATCTATAGCATTAGCACATGAGGTTTTCGAACAGCAATAGACAAAATGGGCATGAATAACCATAGATTATTCTTAACATCCAGAACTTACGTTTGTTATTTGGGTGTAGGTTACACTACAAAATTGGACAACCAAACATTTTGCAAGGCACAACAAATGTTTCAAAATCAAAATTTCCCAAGCATTTTAAAGGGGGGGGGGGAATGGCAGGACGCCATTGGCCCATTTGCCCAACCCCTCGTTTAGTATTTTATCTGGGGCCGGGAGGATAAGGGTGCGAATGATTTAATCAGATGAATCACTACCAAATTTTAAGCTCCCGGGGGGAAAAAAGAGAGCAAAACCTTTCAATGAGAGTTATAAAGGGTGTTTCTACATGAAAATGAAGGCTGGTATCATTCAGCCAGGCAGGCAATGATATGTGATGTACAGGTGGTTAAAATAATTACAGTGAAATTCCATAAGCATGCATACTTCTAGCTCTGTGTCAGAGCTGGACACTAATCTGTACATGTTCGCCTGAGTTTTAAAGTGCCACGCAACCTTTGCCAAAGCAACCTTTTTTGTCCTGTCTCATTCCTGCCAATCCTTACAACAGCTTGATAAACAATAAAAATGATTGATTCGTGGCAGGTTCGGGTCATCCGGGTCACAAGAATGTCTAGGAATTGAAAGCTTCCGCCACATTTTACTACCGCAACGTGAGGACACCTACGCGATCCGCAAGTTACAGGACTTGGCCAGACCGGTTCTTAGCAGCTGTTACCAGCAATGGTGGGAAGAGGGAGGTGGAACTGAAAGTGACAACCAAGTTTTAGCTTCTTTTGCAAGAAATAAAGCTATAAACTTGATAGATGTTTAGATGAATGTATAGGAGTATCTGTTAAACTATGGACTACAGATTATAGTCTATCTGTTAAACTGTTAGATAAATGGACTGGACTCCCTGTTTAACTGTGGACTATAGACAACAGACTATCTGTTAAACTATCGACTACAGATTATAAGCTATCTGTGGAACTGTTAGACTATAAATGAATGGACTGGACTCCCTGTTTAACTGTGGACTATAGACAACAGACTATCTGTTAAACTATGGACTACAGGTTATAGTCTATCTGTTAAACTGTTATAGGTAAATGTACTGGACTACATGTATCTGTAATGTTGCATAGGCCTACTGCCTACGCTTTCGTAAATTAAAGTTTTGTAGCTTGGCCCAACAAAACTACCATGCCAACAAGTGTTGCTTTTGTGGGGGGGGGGAGAGACAGAGATTTGAGAGCCGTGTTTAACTCAAATTTTGTTTTGTTTTTGTTTTGTTTCTTTCTCTTTTTCTTTTGTCTGTTTCACCAAAGTGTACAGTGCCAGCAAATATTCACACTTCCAAGGTTTTAATTTTTGAAATGCAAAACATCTGGCAGGAACTTATTATCACAAGTTAATAAGCCCTTTTAGAAGAAAACAAAGTTGCTTTCAGAGACAAAAGAAGAGAATTAGACATAGTCTAGACACTTTATTATGGCATGCCCAAATAAGGGCATTGACCTTTGTGCCTGCCAACAACACTCATAATACAACAAGACTGGATTAACGTGGGATATGTCTCTCCGTTTCTACTTTCTGAACAAAGTGCATGGTAAATAATAACATCACTCTTCTCCCCATTTACATGGATCCTAAATTATCAAGAAGAAAACCTTACTGAATAGTTTCAAGCAAACAAAATAGCAATGGACCTTTCCATAAATATGCAAAAAAGCAGGTGCATGCACATCACTACCACTGGTTGGCATAGTTGCTTAAATCTATGATGTAACAATGCAGATCTCTATGCCCATGCAAATGTACCTTGTATGAGCACATACACACCATTTCTATGTACATGTAGTATAGTTTGACATCAGTGCCAAACTTAAAGACAAGGAAATGCTACTTTCCAACCTCAGGACACAGCAAACTTCTCTTAGTTTCAAGCAAAGCGAGCTGAAGTATCGGACAAAGGTTGTAATATGGTTTCCTTGATTACCTAATAGTTAAAGAGTTTCTAAGAACATTCTGATTTGACATTAAGAGCTTCTGCCAATTACTCTCACACTGCTTCTCAGAATACTTGTCCCCCCAAAAATCAATAACACCCCTTTAATAATCCACAGCAGATCAGGCTATGGAGGGCAATAAACCACTGCCTGGAATATCTTCACACACTCAGGCATTCATACTAGCCTCTTGTGTGGGTGCTTATCTCAATTAGTCTGATCACAGAGACTTCACAACCTACTGTGAACTACTAAAAAGTAATAGTACACAAGGCCTCCTTGGTGCCTTCAGTGTAGGATGGATTTACATGTATCTCCCTTAAACCACTCAAACAGCAATCAATATGCTTGCCCTGTCAACACAGTTCAACTTCTGTTCCCTTCCACTGAGCTAACTGTGGGGGGGCGTAAATGTACATTGCAGTTCTTAAAGGGACCAGTAGAACTAGGAGGGGTACGAGCACCTTCCAAAGAAATCCATCTGACAACTTCCGCAATCCAATCCCACAAGACCACTTCCCCCCAAAAGGAAACTAATAAATTGTCACTTCAAGCAAACAACTCTTGAGAAAAGCAAAGTTTCCATCAAAAGATAATTTTTGCAATGTACATGAACGTCCAAAATCTTCCACCATTTCCTCAAAATCACCCATTTTCTTTTATACTCCCTCACTGCAGACGTTCAGATCTTCACAGAAATTTTAAAATACTTTCTAGTTTTACTGACATCAAGGGAATGTGTAATCACTCATGATTCTTGCCTGGAAGGAGGAAGGGGGAGGGGAAGGGCAGATGGGTCTACCAGATGCCATGCTAATGTTCTTTAAATTGTGCTGAGCTGTGCCGCCTTCATCTATTTGCCTACTTTAATACACTATGCACATTATTCAATGATGTTTGGAGGGTCTGAGCACCTTGTGCTGTTTAAAGACAGTCAATGAACTTTACATAAACGTGATGAGATTACAAGTAAAAAGATTTCACTGGCAGGCACCCAGTGGGGGCAATGACAGTGTCCCATGCCAACAATAAAAAAACTTGAACTTGTAGGGGCAGAAATGTCAGAAGTTATTGGACTACTGTAGGACTGGAGTTCACACTGAATTTCATTTGACGGGTACAGAAACTAGAAAGTACTTTTTCTCTTTGAAACGGTACCTACCTGGGTAGGACGATCTGCTGTAAGCAGGTGCAGTGCGCTGGCATGTTGTTGTCCCATAAGGTGTCTGTTGACATCGGGTGCAGGTGTTGGGAGCACTGCACACGCCCTCTCCACAGGAGCCCCGGCAAACAGCTGCAAATAAGATATGATTGGCATGAGGCAATATTGGACTGAATGAGATGCCTCAAAATAAAGGTACATGGTACACAAAGACACAGTCAATGCTTGAGTTAGAGCAAATACAAAATTGAATATTCATAAACTTGCCCCAAAATTCAAGCAAACTTTCAAACGTCTGGTCAAACAGCAAATTTACAGCCAACCAAGCCTTTAAATGACCAGTTTGGTGGGCACACAATTACATGTATTTATTGTCATTACAATAATTTCTAACTTTTGTAACATTTGCAAGAACTAAAAGTGATTTATCATACAATAAAGCTTTACCACAATGTCATTTGGAGAAATGCTTTTTATTCCATTCAACTGCACCAACACATAATCAAATACAAAAAATTCTTTGGAAATGTGCAAAACAGACTGAACTGTTGGCTCAGAGAAATATGAAAGAGTTGCGTAGCACCGTGATCAGAATATTGACAAGAATATAATATTATAACCAGTGCTCTGAAATACGTAATTGCCAAGCTCTGCAAGCTTATTATAATATATTACATTCTTGTGAATTTTTGGCAGTTTTGCAACGGCCAAGTGGAGGGCAAGCTACAAAAAAAGGGATGCTTTTTGGAATAATTTCTGTGCAGATTCAAAACAATCTTGTGGAATATGCAACACCATATATGTGTATGAGTTAACAATAAAAGTATATAAATCAAAAATATTGCTGTATGGTATAGCAGTGGTACTGGACAACACATCATTAGAGCTTCGTGTAGTACAACTGGTAATAATGAATCTGATTTTTTTGACGTTTTAAAAGACCAATAAACTAATTTTGGCCTGTAGCCATTGCATTCCAGCAAGTTGTTATTATATCGCCTACAGCAGGATTTCCCTGAGCCTGCAGACAGGATTTCCTTCAGTAAATCTAGACTCCCCTACACATCCCAATAGAGGTGGCCAGCTGTACTGAACTAGTCTTCCCCTGAGCACAGTGGTGCAGGGACGACATGTCCTGGGGGTCTCAATTGGACATTAAACCCCCGCCCCCTTGCACCACAAGGGAACGTATGGCTGTATCAGAGCTAGTGCGATGACAGTGTACAGTACATCTCCATTTTTCAGAAATATAACTAAAATTAATAAATTAATTTGGGGGAGGGCTCAAGCCACGAAGCCCTTCTCCCCTTTTGCATCTAACCTGAGCATTCTTTAAAACAGCGACACAATATTGAAAACCTCTTTTCTCTCCCCAGCCTGTTCATGTTGAATGCAAATGTTGCTGTACACGTATAAGCCTATAACAGTGCAGGATGTACTAGCCACTGGCCTTGCGTGACAAAAGAAAAACATGAAACTCTAAAACATACTGAAGGATTTTCCAAGAATGGAGATACTTCTGCCCTCTTGTCACTTTTCATGAAGAGATCTTTTTATTGCTGTAACACATAGCAATATGTACAAAAACACATTGAGCTGAACGTCCAGTACACGTTTCCTTAAATTACCTCAACCCTAATCTACTAGGGCCTTTTACTAGGGCACAACTCAATCCTTCAAAATCCTCCAATTGCCCAACTTCAAAAACTGCATTCATCCTCAATCCTCCAACATCCTCCATCTTTTTTGCTTATGCACAAAATGAAAGATACCTGAATCCTTAATTCTCCAAAATCCTCCAAAACCACCCGGAGTATTTTGAAGGATTGAGGTTGGTTAGGGTTAACCCTGAACCATTGGATGAAAAGCGCACTGCGAATGTATTTGGCAACTTGTCTGTATGATTTTTTATACTTTGTATCTCCCTGTCACCATTTTGGCTCAGGTCAACCCTGTTGCAACATATCAACTGTAACTGCCTGCAAGGTTACAGTGTGCACAGTACACCTCAAATAGGAAGTAAACATTTTTTTAACTTAAAAGCAGCCAAGGTTGTTGACTTGCAGGGTGGGTCAAGGCAACTTCTGCCTCTGGATACAGCATTACTGCCTAATGCCAACCATATGGGTTCCAGCATGGAGCTCAACTCATAAACAGGGCACATTCTTTAAATGTACAAAGTGTGCCTGGATTTAATAACCATATTTTCACTTTTGACAGCTTGTGACGAATTGTCAATGCATGTGGACCTAATCACTGATAACTGATCTGACAAGTAGCAGAGAACCAAGGAATTATGACTTTTATTTCAGCTGAGGTACATAGTGACCATGCATCAATTAAAAGTTATTCGGCTTGTTATCCAAATAAACCAGTTGGTTCATGTACATGTATGTACACAGAAAAGGCATGACAGACTGGAACCTATAGACTTTATCACGATGCTGCAATATTTGTCTTGTTCCCTGCAGACCCATTGGCAATAGTTGTACATATTTCACACACTGATAACAGGGGACAGTTTTTCCTTCCAGCCTCAGTTTGGTGACATTGCTTTGAATGGTAGAGAAGCAAAATGGCTTCTCCATGAGAGGTCTATAATTAGATGCTCTCACTACAGTGGTAGGTAAAATTGGTAAAATTACCCCCCCCACACGCACACACACAAAGTCATCATTCCAACCCAGTTTATGCTGGGTACTGCTGAGTTTTCCTGATATAATTTCCCTGAAAATAATCATTTTCCCGATACTTTTGTCATCTGTAAAGCTCTGAAAAATTGACAATGACAAATGATTATCCTTGTATCCTGTTTGTCATTAATATTTCATATTGGCAAGTAGATCTAACAGACATAGAATACTTTTGGAATGACACGTCCTCTAAGATGACATGACCAAAATATTTGGAATATTCACAGATAATTCTCCTGAAAAATTAGTAAGAAGTATTCATAAATACCTCAGTAAGTCTCCCTATTCAACAACGTGCAACATGACTGTGTATTAACATTTGATAACTCCTGCTGAGAAGAGCTAATGCCCGCAGCATAAATCACGAACTGGATACATGACAGTTTTATCAATTCTGATTGGTCAAGTGTCTGTGTGCACGAGGCAGCACCGCACCTGGACCAAGTCCATACAAGGAGATTCTTTTGAACAAATATAAAATAAAATGGACTTGACTCTAACTAAAAAAGGTATTTATCAATGGGAATGAATATGTGCTTGGCCGGTCTTAAATGTTAGTTTAAGACTGGCTCAGGAGAATGAACGCTGATAATGCCCGAGCCGCATGTCCACTGTCCTAAGTTGGTCTGAAACAAACATTTAAGACCAGCCAAGCATACATTTATTCCCTTATTAGTTTGTCTTCACCGTGGAAACTTACGAGTGAGGCACAGTCCACTCCCTGGATTTGGCTTCCATCCCGGACAACAGATGTATCCACCCTGAGAACGACACACATGTAGACCCCTGCAAGTACAGAAGGCAATCAATTATAAGCCATGTGCATGATCTGTGTCTTGCGGAACTGTTTTAAGTCCTACTGGTATGTACATGTAGGCCTTATGAATTATCAGATGTTTTACAAAATGTGTACAACTTAAAATCAGTCAAGAGTATTACAATTGGACGAGCTATTGCGTGGCACACTGACCACTTTCTGACTATTAAAGGGTTGGAATTTACGTTTAATTTGAAAAACGTTCAGAAAACGTTTAACTGTTTAGTCAACACATTACAGAGGCCGCCAAAGCCAACCTTGGTGTTTTCGTACATGCATAATGATATAGTTCAACAATGCCCATAGTCAAACCTATGTCTCTGTAAAAATGTACATGTAGATATATTGGGCATTTAAAACAAGCAATGTTTATTGTTTTAGAATCCACTTTTTTCTCAAAAAGTACATGGACGGCAAAAGGGAAAAGTGATTCGAAAACAAGATTACATTTGAAAGGCATCATTTGGAATAAAAATGAGCCCCAAATTGCGTTAATCAGAACGTCAAACCTCTATAAGGAATGGTTCCATTTAAATCCTTGTGAAAATCTGTAAACGAATTTGCAACTTATTTCATTTATATGTGTAAACCTCCAACCCATATTTTTGACCAATCAAAATCCTCCATGAGCAGGCAAAAAAGGGTGTTTCCAGGGCAGCAAAAAACACCCAAAGAAATGTTCTATTTGCAAGTAATGGATCAGCTGTGCGACAGAATGGATGGTACAGACATCATTTCTATATTCAAAAACCTAAACCTGACAGTTCTGGCAATGCAATAAGAAATTCCCCATTGCCGACTTAAGATATGCAGAGTTAAAGTTGACAAGAATTTGTGGCGTTTTGCCCTGGCTTATGCAAAGCATTCAAACTGCACGACTAATAGCTGCAGCAAGATTTTAAAAACTTTTAATAGTAAATTATCCTTTGATTTTTGGACTGACAGCCAGCTATAGTTTTAACAGTCTCAGCATAGTCAAGACAACCATAACATAGAAAGAAAATATCACTAAGGGCAACAGGCAGGACCAGTGGGAGGGGGGCTGGGGGCATGTGCCCCCCCCAAGTCCCAGCACCCACCCCAAAAAAAACCAGATGAATGGATATCAAGCAAGGCTAACAAAAGCTTGCCCCCAAAACCAAAACCACTGAAAGCTAGTGCCCTCCCCATAAGATGCTGGTGTCCCCCTTGTCCCCCTCCCCCCAGTAAAATCCTAGCTATGCCACTGAGCAGGACATGCTGTGTGTATAAAAATATTTCTGTCTGGTTTTAACAGTGGCACCTTGTGACACTCACTCAAGAAGTACGAAGCCTCAGGTAGGAAAAAAAATTATGTACTGCAGTTAATGCACTGTGGTTCAGAGAGGTCACCATGCCTGTTCCCACTGAAGTGCCACCCAAGAGCAAGCACTCATGCCTCAAGAAGTTCACTGACTGCCATGCGCCACTGCACCACTTCTTCCCACGAGGAAACCTTTACTAAAATACCGTTTACTTACATAAACTCCCCAAGGAGGTGCCAAATGGGCCACTCTTGGATGTGGGAATTCACTGGGGAAGTCATGTCAATCCATTTTATAGAGGACAACATGTCAAACTGAAGGCTGGTTTTAAAGACTAAGATCTGACCCTGAAAGGTCTAATTCAAAGTTGAAACTTATACACCTGCAAATTGGCTGCTGCTTTACAACATACCCAAAGATAAAAGAGACTTGTCACAAATGTCATTTCAATTCACACATTTAACTACTGACACAGTAAACTGCAGATTTTCCAAGCTGTATATTATGCAGGTATTAAATGACCAATTTTCTCTTCTACATGACAAGGCCATCTTGATTTCTGTCTTCACCACAAGAAACCTAAATTTTTCTTGGTAAAGAGTGCTGCACTGTCCTTGCATAAGCAACATGAATAGACTGCAGTACCTCACGTACATCCTGCTTTTCAAGAAAAATACAATAGTTGTAAAGTGGGCCCTACATATTCCGAAGCAGACTTTTTCCTTCACAGTACAGTACATACATGTACATGCACATACATGTAGGTATACATGTACTTCTTCACCATCCCATGCACAGCCTGCATGTATCTCGTTCAAGGTCAGGAAGCCCATTGAAAGATTGATTCTTTTTTAGTCCATAAAATAGAAATTTTTAGTCCGTTGGCAAAGAAAAACAGTAATGTATACCATATTTACAGTACAAAAACCTAGAAAATAGTCATTTCAAAGGTTACCAAAGTTATACACAAAACTAAGTATTATTTATCAAATACTCACCGAAATACTAGAGGTCATTATACATGTGCCTAGTACTAACGTGCAACAGATGAACTGAATTAATTAATGGACAGAATTTGGAACAAACAACTGTCTGAAGCGAGCAGTATGCACTGCAGGGTTACATAACCGGATAACCAGAAACCCGATCTAGAATGTAATAATCACAAAATGGGTAAAATTGGTCCTTCTCAACTGCACTTACTACATGTATATTGGAATCAGATACCATGCATGACATGGGGCCGATGGTACCCCCCACATGTCCAATCCCTATACACACTCTAGACTATTGTTAGCTAACACATCCCCCCTAGAAGTCTTTTAAGAATTCCTGAGATTCCGATCAAACAGTGACCAACACAAAGGGGGGGTTCTCTCCACCCCATATCTTGCATCATATGTGGAATCAATCAGTGATTGAAATCACATGTGAGGAATGCAGCCCCAGCAACTATTCAGATGCCCTCTTATAAAATACACAGGCCTACAGACTCAAGTCAAACCCAACAACCCTTTTCACAAGAGTGAGAATCCAAGAAAATAATATGGGTCATTCTACAAAAATGAGGTACACTTTGTTTGTGTCCTTGTCTCATCTGATGTAGGACTTGTAAGTTTCGAACACATTCTTTCAAATCCAAGATTGATTAAGTAATGGAGATTAATTGCCAAACAAATAAAACTATTTAGGGTCGATTTGATGTATTTCCGGGTCAAATAGTCAGGTGTAACTGTGCACAGGCACTGAGTACAGAATAATTCATGGGCGGTTGGTATAAAGGTTGTACACTCCACCTGTGCACTGTAGTGGCAGGGACATACACTCAACATTTCACCTATTTTGTGGAGACTGAAAACATTGGGGGACTCGGGCATGTCCCCACAACTCAGTTCAAATTTCCCCACAACTCAGTTCAAATTTCCCAAACAAAAGAACTTGTCCCCTGAACGCGGTGAATGCCTACCCACAGCGGATGTAAAGTTGCACTCCGGCTACATGTATGTATGTACCGAAAACATTAATGTGAGTGCATGACTCCTTTCCCACTGAATTCTGAAGAGAACTGTCTAGTTCAGCCTCATTTCGTTAATTTTCCCTAAAAGTTCTTTATTTAAAAGGATCATCCACTCAAAAACATTCCTGAAAGTGCCTAATCAGGGATGTCAGGTGTGGTTTCTGCCATCAAACATTGCCACTAACCTAAAATTCACCTGTAGCCTTGAAGGACCCAAGGAGAGTGAGGCTACATCTACACTGTACATGTACAACAGCAAATATCACACAACAGCTATAAACTTTTTGTCATTTGGCTACATGACTGAAATGTTTCCCTGGTCCTTGAAAAATGCCTTGGCCTCCATTTGAACCCCCCTATGTAATCAGCTCCACAGTCACCTTGTCCAATGTGCCCTGTCCAATTTCCTAGCATGCAAGCGACACACATGTACACTATCACTTTCACAAAATGTGAGCATCACCAGTTCCACAGACAGGAAGTGCCACTGATAACTTCCTATGTTATGACCTAACGACACCAATTACAATATTATGTGCACGCACCATTAATGGGGTTTCATTCCTGTACTGTAGCTTCACAAAGGCCTTACTACATGCTTCAGTGGAGAAAGCTATTCTTGATTGGAATATTCAAACAGATTTCCCTAAGCTTTTCTTCATATACGTGGGGGGGAGTCCTGTCTTACATCTAAGAGGGGATTCTCTGACTAGCAACTGCAGTTCTGCACCATAAATGAAGCACACTTAACACTTTGACCAAGCTTCCAGATACATTTGTAGATACATAGTTCAAGAAATTCTGGACTTGTTACAGCACCCTACACATTTACGTAGTCAGTGAGTGCAGGCACCAAACAGAGTACAGTTTTGTGCAAATTAGACCCTACGCACACACATGTGGGGGCTCGTTTGAATCACCTGGTGCCCCTCCCCCACCTAAGACCATGTAAAGTTAAGCCTGAATTATACTTTTTATGTAATTCTGTGTAGAGTGTACTGACATAATAGTTTCTGACAGCACTGTGTCTCTCTACTGTTTTATCTGTCAAATATACATTTTCCCAAACTAAAATTATTAAACTTAGATTGTACTTTTCAGAATTCTGGCTCAGGGAAATGTAACTTTGATACAAATGCCCCTATTTATCATTCATTCCCAAACCCACCGGTACATTAGACATCCAAGGCAATCTAAGCAAACTTGGTGGTCAGGAGGTCAAAACATCTGCACTGGTAAGCAGGACATTGTGGCTTTACCACCCAAACAAGTCTGTGAATTGTTTTTCAAAAAACAAATTACATGTCTGACAGGCATTCCTCCTCAACAATGGTAAGTAAGCCAATATTATTTTTGTGTGAGTAACAAAGGAAACAATTCCTCCCACTTTTTTATGGCTCTCTCTCTTTACAGAACTTATCACATAAAAAAATAAGTCCCCAAAAGTAAACGACTGCATGATTGCCACAGACAAAGCTACGTACATGTATTGAACAGTTTGCGGTATGCCAGACTACCTGTAACCTTGAGCTATGTTGAAAACTCATTACTTGGATGCCCTCTGTCACCAGCTGCATGATGACCCAATGTCAAGGATCTGCTATTAAGAAGAAAATGTTGCAAGACAATTTTCATGTGCTGATCAAAACTCAGCCCAGACTCAATTACAAGCAATATCGTGGACGGTTTGTCTCGCTAAGAAATGTTTTTTCACGCTTAGCACAGTTCTCCTTGAATAAGACCATTGAAATAGACCAAGGGCCCAGTTTCAAGGTTTTGGCTTACCGCAGGCAAAGCGTTTTAAACTTACACAGGACATGCTGTTTTAACGCTTAACGTATTTTCAAGGTTAACGAGGAGCAAAAGTGAACATCCAATAACTGAGGACTGCATGCTTACAAGGTTGGCCTGGAATTCGAGTAAGCCCTGTGAGGCAGTAAGCACATAACAGTGATCGTAAAAACAGAGTTCTGTGGTTGGCAAAGCCATGAAACGCGGCCGAGGTGACCATGCCATCTTGATAATGCTCAAGCACAATCCCCAGGACTTCCAGACTTCCTTCGGAATAAACCCAGACAGTGGCCCATGAGCAGGCAGCAAGGGCCAGGGCCCAGGTCAACCTGTATCTGTCTGGGTGGCAGACTGGATCATCAGCACAAAGAGGATACCATAATACCTGGACTTCACACAACACTGGACATCAAAGAGTTGTCAAGGTCCTTGACAGGATATGAGAAACTTGAGTCGGTTTATAACTGTCTGTCTTTGAATGTGACTATTTACACATTTTAAGGGTCCACAGAGGGAATTTTACATGGGTACCCCTTTTTCTCAATTTTCTGCTTCATTTGTGAGTTGCACACGCAAGAAAGGTGCACTGTTTAAAAATTCACAATTTTTAATGCTTTTCTTGATAACTGAAGAGTTTTCTTATGAGATATGATGTCATCACAGGAAGACACAGTTCAGTTTACCATGCACAGCAGAATTGATGTTGAAAAAGTGTTGACTTATTGAATGAATGTTTAACAAAATACCCACAACATGTAGATTCCTCTCAGTAATCCACTCTGAGTGGAACAAAGAAGGGCATTTTGTTATTTGGTACTCACCACATAGGCGCGCCATGAGGTGCGCAAGTATTACGTGCAGTACGCGTAAGTAATTCACTCCCGCATGTATGGTCTTTGCATAAAAGCAGAATGCGTGCAAGAACCCATTTGTAACCACCTGTCTTTCTTTTTGCCGATGGCATTTTGGAAAAAAGAAATATTCAAGTACCATTCCAAACTCTCACAGAAAAAAGTTACTGACTTGGCGTACCCAGTTCTCCCCAAATATAATTTCAAAACTTCATAAACATGGCGTCCATTTGCCAGAACTCATCCCTTATCAAATAGCGGTAACAAAGGATTTCCATGCTCAATTTCCACTGGATCAAAGTTACATCTTGTACCTGCAAAAGTGGTATCAGATTAACAGTCAGGGACACTAGGACTTCAAGCTTTTCAGACCAATTCCAAAAGGCCAACTAATTCGCACAGGAATTGCTGCCAGTTATTTTTGGAGGCAAAAGGAAGATTTGTCATGATTGTGTAAATAAAAGAGGGATTTGGGGCAGGTAAGGCTGACCTTTAAGGTTCTTTGTGGATAAACACAGTTTGGCATGTCAGAGGGGCAGAATTTAAAGGAAAATCAGTCAAACGCGGCTTTAATTACAAGTCGGCCATATTCAATTTTTTTTTTATTTTGGGAACCTGAAATTAAAGGAAAGCAGTAAATAAAAATTCACCGCAAATAAACGTTATTTACACCGATCAGGAATGATGAATAATTTAAAATTTGTGATTAATTATATCCAACTTTTTTTTTATCTAAGCCACATTTTTTAACAATAAAAATAAGGCTTGGAACCCAAAATAGTTTTGTATCATAACAATTTTAATAAATTACTGTGGATAACATCAAAAATGGCTTCCCTATGATGGAGGCCATTTGCAGCAAGAGCAAAATTGCCACAACGTTTCATCCACTTGAAGATACCAGGCCAATCTCCATGTCTGCATTAAGCCTACATGTATCTAGTTTAACTTTGTTACACATCAATTAAGTCGCTGTGATATCTTGTCCTTAGTACGCCTGTGTTTTTAGAAATAGCAGTCAGAAAATATAGAACATTTATTCAGGGCTAACAGAACCTCAGCCATTGAAATTGGTTTTGAGTTTTATAAGTTTAATTTCATGCAGAATGTATCTTGAACTGTTAAAAATTGATAAAAAGTGAGACTAAATCTAAGTGGACAATATTCTTATAAATATTACACCACTGTCTATTGAGATCGTCTTTTTAAAATGTTTTTATGTTTAGTCTGTTGTATTTTATAAACGTTTCTGTAATCTGTAGGACTTTTAACACAAGAATGGAACATGGAATGGCTCTAGATTATTTTACAAATATTACGTTTTGAAAAATCCAGCTCAAAAATCTATTGCCGGCGTATCTCAAAAATATTTTCACGGTGGAGGAGCTTTCCCGTTCATGATTGACAGTCCAGTGACAAAAGTTTTGTATCGGTATCTGACAGTTAAGAATGGGCAGCGTCTGTTTTGTTTTCTGTTCAGATGGATTACAGGCCACTTGGCATTCCGACGAGTCATCAATGAGGAATAATTCACAAGTTCACAGCCAAATGAACCAATAAAAATAAAGAGCTCGTGACGGGCAGCCATATGATTGGGTGTCCGTGTTCGTTTAGCTGGTCGTTGACGCCGAGCGGTCGCGTTGATTCGCCGAGCGGGATATTGCGCAGTGCGACAAGTAACTGCCGCGTTGAAAATGGGGCGGGTACGCTATGATGTGGGACGGGTCGTAAAACAGAAGCAGCCGCCTATCACAATTGTGAACAATGTACACGTATGTAGTTGATTGGCAGGTTGGTAAACCTTGGAAGGACAAGACGAGAAACATCATTATGACTTTTGAAATATCGGTTGTGACATTTAGGTACATGTGCCGTTTCCTTGGCTGGGCTGGACTAAATAATTATCATTTACAAACTTCATTTCCCTCCCATAATGCTTACAAACCTGTCATTTTAGCAAGACGTCTCAAAAATGTCCAAAACTTTCTTTCACCCTCTCTTTTTGTAGGTTTGAAACACAAATTTTCTTTAAAACACTTTGGAAAAAATGTTGAATCCTGCCCCCACTACACGTTTCATCTCAATAAAGGTATCATCTCAAGGCAGAAATAACATGAATTAGGGACAGAGAAAAAAAGTTGTGTAATTTTGTCAGGATAATCGATGTTTTTTACTCCACGTAGACTTAAAACACAACCACAGATGTGAATAAAGGATGCAGCATTCTTTTCATGGTTTTCCTAGCAACTACAACCAAAAATGGGACAGAGCTCCTTCATTACAAAAACCAGGGTGTTAAATTTAACACCCCTGGTATTATCAGAGGACTACACAACATTTTTCAGTGGTGTTGAAACTGTTGGTGTTACTTCAACACTCTCGGTGTCAATATTAAAACCTTCCAGAGCACTGCAACATTTGTAGGTGTGTAAAGTAACACTAGCGGTGTTAAAGTAACACCTTATGGTGTGGTAATCTGATAACACCAAAAATGCTGTTTTTAACACCACAGTTTTTGCAGTTACAAGGGCAGCACCTGACACCCTGTGCACAAACGTGTGGCCACGCGTCGTCCGCCGCCTGGAGGGAGTGCGGCGGACCTTTGATGAGTTCTAAGGGTACACAAACCCTACAATACTGGTCTAAAAACTGTGTTCTGAGTAAACGCTTCAATACTTTCACTGTTAAATTTTACTGTTGAGGATACGTTATCACTTTTTCATGTCTTGTAAACTACTGCAAAGGTAAGCAATGTCCATACAGGAACTTTTACTAGGTTTCTTTTCATACTGGTAAAAAACTTTCTCTAGCAGACGCCTTGGTCCGGCAGTATCGCGGCCACCAAAACTTACCGAACGTTCGTCTGCACCATCCGTTTCATCCGCCCTCCATCCGCCCCGACGTCGGTTCCTTCCCCCGACACTGCTCCAGCGAGCACAAAGGCACACAACACCATCCCAGCCAACCCACTGGAAGGCCCGAGGGCTTTCAAATCCCAGGTTAAACCCCGCCAAGTCCGACGGGGTCGATCGGCCGAAACGCCGACCATCGTGGCAGGCTCACGGTGCGAAAGAAATCCCAACACCACACACAGGCAGCTCTGGCTAGCTGCTGACAGCTAAGACTTCACCTCTCTTTGAAAGAAAACCATCCACGGAAAAGAAGATCTCAGCGCATTTCCATTCGCTCGAAGACTAAGCTAACTTCCGAAAAGGTACAGATCAGATCCTCCCGGATCGAGAACTCGCAGGTAATGATCCAAACAGTGAAAATACTGTCCAGAAATCCTACAGAAGAAAGGAAGAATCGGCTCCAAAGCTCTGTAGATCAGAGCGCGAGCCACCTATCCCGAAAGCTTATGAAAGAATGAACAGTGACCGGTATCGGGTGCGTGTGTAACTAGGCACACTCCTCACTGGCACACACGCAGAGCATTCATCACCGCTAATGCGCCAACCAATCCACCTGTTCTTGAATTGTGCCCCGAACCCCAACGAACTTCCCCGGGCTAATGATCTTGCGGTTTTCCGGATTCCTATCCCGTTCATTGTAACAGAGGGTCTTACCGTGGAGCTTACAGCTCACTGGTCTTACAAGGACGGAGCTCAGCTACAGTTGACATTCTTTTTTTTCTACAGGCGTATTCAGTTGAAATGAAGTAGTAAACCTGGCCTGTTATAAACAAACCCTCAGCCCTTCCACTGCAGGGGGCGGGGCCCCATGGGCTTAAACCCTTGGAGACCACTCATTAGTCCCTGCATTGTACATACGGCTACATCTGATAAAAATGCGGGGGGGGGAATAATTAACCAAAAACACAACCTTGGATTTGAGAAAGGGGTCACGTTTCGGGAAAGTTTCATATGGCCAAAAGTTTACTATTTAGTCCAAGTGAAGGAACACCATACTATGCTGAGTCCGGGCAAAAGTACCGTGCCAGTGGTCACATGGAGGTGTCAGAACATGGTTAACCAAATCATGATCTGCAGGCCCTCCGCTAGTCGGGCATTAGTGACTTGTGTGAGGTATGCAGCCTGCAGGTTTTGTGAAAATGGAGGGGAAAAAAGGAATGGTGGAAGTCCTGAAGAATTGCAAGCTTCTTTTATTCCATGTGAATTATTTTGCTCAAAATGAGTCCTTCAAGATGGCACAATTTTGCAATCTCGGTGTGTAGTCTTCATTTGATTTCACAAAACGTGACTAGGTCCATGCAGGAATGTTTAGTGGTGATAGACTTTAGATGGAAGTGTCCCCCAACGTTTTACCGACCAGAATGACATAGGGAAACAAGCTTGAGTTTCATGTGTGTGTCAACTGTCGAATACGTCGGCTAGTTTTGACTGGTATTATTTGTCAGTAATGGGGTTATTTTCATCAATGGCAGCTCACTTACCCTTGAACAAAATTTGAGAATTATCCCTTGGCACATTGAATATGCGTCACCAGTCTAAAAGAAAATTAGTTTACACTGCTTTCCGATCACACTCGATTCCATTTTCAATTCCAGCATGTTTTGATATTACGCTTAATTTTCAGCAGTTAGGGCAACAATCTTGGCCGAATTTCTCTATCCCACTCCAACCACTCCGAGCCCCTTTGAATGATGTCTTTCACTGCGAGGTCTCTGTGCTCCAGCTGCAGAACATTGACCGCGTGAGCCGCAGTTTAGCGCCCTCACTAGTCACTTTTAGGACATCCTGTCTAGTCTTTGTTTTCTATCAATGAAAGAAATGACAGGAAACAGAGAATTTCAGTTTCTCGGGTATGTTCATTGGTTATAAACCACAACAATATGGGCGATTCACAATAGTGCTCCACCAAGAGCTTGCAACGCGTTGGTCAATTGCAACACACGAAATCTGTCAACCTTTTCAAACGCGCATTGGGTTGACAGATTTCGCACATTGTGATTGGCCAACGCGCTGCAAAATACTGAGCGCACTACTGCGAATGACCCATGTCCACTTTAAATGTAACAAAGATGTTTCTTGTACCACGGTCATAGATATTGAGTTTTTATTGGTCGCAGGTTGATCACGCGATATGCTAGAAGCGCACATGTATCATTCACGCGTCGCGCGCACGGTTGATGTGTCATGTCTGCTGTGTATAATCTTGGGTACGAGGGTGGACAGGCGCGTTGGCACTATGCGTGCCATGAGCACGGCGAGGGGGACATTGAAGCACTGTGTCCATTCAGATGCTACCCTCTTCACTCTGACCATAACGGAGACCTGTGGGTTACTAAACTTCTTCGTGCACCTGGCTATGCTCGTGGAACACGAGTATGCTCTAATTACTGTTTATGCGGGGATCGCCATTGCCGTTTATATAACGCTCATGAATATTATAAAACTCTCATGCCATTGTCTCTTCTCGTCTGCTCTTCAATCATGTCAATACTTTTCAACGGAATTTGGAGTAAATGGTCCTAAAATTAAATCAGTCGACAAAAACCCCAGTGCTCTGTAAATTCCAAGTGTCTCTCGTAGGCCAGTTATCCTAGATTTCTCCCCCCCCCCGCAAAAAAAAACAAACAAACAGAGGTCAACAAAGTAAATTACAATCAGTAAGTTTCCTGGTAATTTAAATATCCAACTTGCTGTTGAATTGTTTCAATTTGTCAAAGTGTTTTAATTCATCTTGCAGTAAAATACCGGTATGCATATATGACAGATATAAGAGTTCCAGAATAATCTATTAACAACTGTTGCCTGTCGTTACGGGGTCCATGGGTTTTGTACACCCTCGGGGATACAAACACTTTGGACCCCTACACTGGAGGGCAACAAACAGGCCTAAGTGGTTCTTCGTGAAAACGACAATTTTACTTGACCTACCTTTCGGCCTTTCCAGTCAATACGTTTGTACATGTACCAGGGGCAGACAGATTTGTGACGCTACGTGAAAACGCAAAATACACTTCCCGAGATTTGGCCCCTAATAACATGAATGTAATCGAAAAAAGAAAAAAAAAGTACTTTCGACATGTGCAGCTCTTCGTGAAAACGGTTGCGAAATGGATACAGGGTGAAAACCAAACGTAAGAGGGGTTGTCACTCCTTTTAGAGCCTCCACCTTCTGGTATTTGCATCGTACTTAGGACCTTGTCTTCCCCCATCCCACCCCACCCCAGAAGGTTCTGGATGTGCCCTTAAATGTATAAGTTCCTTGACTGAGAACTCAGAAAACCAAAGAAATGAAAACACAAGAAACAAACTGAGAATTAATTCACGGCAGGGCTATGCACAAATAGTTACTGCATGGCTACAAATTTCCCACTGTTTCGTCGGATATCTGAGTGCAGAGACTACACCTGTAACCAAGGGTAACGGATGAGGGCAGTATACTTACAGACTGCTACACTGCGCAGCTCTTGGCTGCGGTCGGCATCGTCTCACTCGTCTTTGGGGAATGAGTGTAGCCATGAGATTTTATTCTTTCAATTTCATTTTAACATCAAGTTATCACATTTCCATATAAATATTAAATTTTATTTGTCAAATATTAACGCCCAACCCCTCCCCCCAAAAACACCACAAAAGCAAGGATTTCGGGACCGTAAAGTTTTTGATTTCCCCGCATTCGCTTTTGAATCCCCCCCTTTTCTTTAACTTTAGCTCTTTCCTCAAAGGTGGTTCAGAGAAACATGTTTCATACTCTCTCAGGATCTCAGCTTTGTCCGGTCTACTGAGTATACTTTGATCAACAGGGTAACCTGCGGGGTTAGGCGAAAAGACATGTTTCAAATTCCCACCCCAATTAAATTTTGGAAATCTTTCATTTATAATGATTAAAGGAATACCCCAAAAAACTCCAGCAATTCACAAATGTTCCCCATCATCGCAGAAAAAAAAACACGTCGAAGTAGGTTATGTTGATGTTTGACAACTCCTCTATACCCACTGTTAGTTTCTATACTGAAGTTGAATAATGTTCTTCGGTTTAAATGGAACCTAGTTGATGAAAACGAACAACATGGAAACCAAACATGCCTTGTGGTGGAAACGATACGATAAATAGGAAAACTTCATTCATTTTAACGCATCCATGCAATTAAACTCCACCTTTTTGCGAATTGTGGATAAAATGTTTGAAATATGCAATATAGGCCTATGCTACATTACGTCAAAGATGAACGTTACGTGGATTTGCGCAAAATAGGGGTGTTGTAAATGTTCTGAAGTCGGCTATTTCACTGTGCTATTGTCTTTATAGTCTCACTTTGAAGCCTTAACTTTAACCTCACATGAGCGCAATTTTTATTCTCCAGTGGGAAACACAACCCCGGCCGTAACCCTAATAAAAAAGGTTATATGTGTGTTTTTCTTCAAACTTACAGAACATAGAAGTGATAAACCCACGACCAGATAAAGATCACTAAAATAATGTCTAATAAATCAGAAGTTAAACTCTTAAGGGTAAATGTGGGCGAATCTAGAACCACTTTTTCCATTGGAGGGATAACTTTTTAGAAGAGGCAAAACATATTAGAATCCCTTCAATTGGTTTATGAGTACCGTACATCATAGCACCGGCTACCATTTATCTTCCATTTATCAATACACAATGCTCCACAGAACATTCGTATCATAGTATTTTGTAATTATCTGCACACAACGCCTCTCATCCAAGACAAAATGAAACTCAATAATGTATTTTTCTCTGTCTGTTACAACGGACCAGCTGGGAACATAGACCTATCATTGATAACAAGATGGTAAGCGTAATTGAGGCCTGAAGGGGTGATTTTACGTGTGTAACTATTTGAAAAGCTGTACTTTTCAAGCAGAGATGTCGGTGAATCTTAACTTATTGTGTACATTGCCTCCTGAAAAACGGCCTAATCGATGAATAATGCCTCATCGAAGGCACGCTGGTACAATAATTAATCTCTAAATCAATTCCACAAAGATGACAAGCACAAATAGAACAATAGATGATAAAACCGGCAAACGGAATGATGATTTTAGAAAGATCTAAGGAATCACATGCCAAAAAACTGCGGGGAGAATGTCAGATGGTTGCACCCGTTGGGAAAATCTGAGCACGCGTAGCGCCGGTCACCCGACTTTATTCTCACGAAGCAAGATGTCTCACTGGACAAGATGTTGGACCACTCAGAATAAAACATATGAAATTCAGCTTCTCAAGTAGTTTAATAACAAGTATAAAAAGGCGGTACATCTCGACGGTACCAAAGTACTGAAGCCAACAGTAGTAAATAGGCGTAGACTTTGTAATAAAGTGAACGAGCAAAACATAACTGGATAACACTACACAATTTTAAAATTACGTAAGAGCGTCGCAATACTATCGGGGGTATCGGTAGGTTTCGCTGGTATAACTTTCAGAATTCAAACCTATTTGGCTCTTGCCAGACATCGGGAGATGAACTGGAGGGGGGGTCCAGTGACATGCAGGGATGAGAGAGCAGTATACCCAAATCACCAATAATTCACTCGTCAGATGGAGTATTGAAACATTCGCTTATCGTCCAGACATTTACTACATGGTAATTGAGGTTTACCCCATTCCATCTACTAATTCACTTTTAGTCTGCGGTGGTGCAGCTTTAAAAGCCTGGTAATACAAAATGTAGATGTCAACTTCAATTTCAATAGATTTCTACGTTTACCAGCGCTAGTGTGCCATACTTTGAAATTTAAAGTTTAGCCGCAATGAATTTGTCTCAGATACAATTTTTCTGCCAACTTTGTACTCTTCTTAAATGTTTGAACACTTTTTAACACTTCCATTAATGCACTGAAAAGTGCACTTTTTTAACACTTTAAATTTTTTTCTGGACAACTGAAGTCGGTCTTGCTGTGATGTCATCCAGAGAATACATAGTTCATTGCATAGGTTTCTATTGAAATTGTGGAACCAGAATTTACTTACTCAAAACATTTCTGAGAAAAGCATTCGTTGCTCAGTTTATGCACATAACAATGAATCAGCGAAAAAAAGGAAAATTTAGTCCAGTAAAAATTTCAGAAATGCATGATTTCTTTCGTACAAACCAATGTAACGTACGGCTATTTTCCTGGGATGACATAATAGTTTTAGGTTTACATGAATATGGAAATACTCGTCAGCATAAAAACCAAAAAGGCTGCAAAATACCTTTTGAAATTGTGAAACAAACGTTGAAAATTAGGTTAACTCAAACACAAAGATCTAGTCGAATATTTGTGTTGAAACAAATTGATTGGAGCTACCGTTTAAGTCGAAAGCGTCTCTTCAGAGCCAGATGACATTAATTGAATATTAGTCACGGAGCAACTGTATGAACTTTCCTTTTGATGGCACAAACTACCTGTCTGCTCTTGGAATTAAAGTCAATATGATGTCGCGGATGTTGCGCTACGTTGATGTTCGTGTAAAGTACAAACAGCCCAGCCTTTCAGAATGAAAATTACAATGAAATGTTTTGATCCAAAGAAGAAAATACGAAGAAAGCAAGTGACAAACCTCCAACTTGTGAAAAAAAGTATGATTGCGGTACCACGAACAATCTCTCAAAATCGATTCCAGGGATTCTCTCACGGAGTTCATTTATTTCAGTATTGGGGAACTGATTTTTAAATAGGGCTTTTGACATAGGTCACAGCGCTTCACGATACTATCCCTTTCGTGAGACCCACGTTTCCCCATCGCCCCAGAATATGAGACTTTGCCTCCCTAAGTTTAACACAACACGGACATATCACCTGTACTCAAAGGCAGCGATCTGACTCACAGGTGATAACTACTTTGTGAAAATGTGTTTGACCAAAGACAGAATGTACTGCGACCACGCACAATTATCGACACAATCTCGAGTTGAAGTCATCCGGCAACAAAAACCACTGAATTCCAAAGGCCTGTTTGTTTGTGGGGACAATGATTTAGCGACAAGGACTATACTGACCTAGCAACATTTCTTGGACGAATAGTATCCCAGGGAGGGGCTATTGTTAATCACGCTGAACTGTCCTACATCATTTCGTCTATCACACTTTTAAACTGAAAACAAGCTCAGTATCAGCCAACATCCCAATCAAACATATCACTCTTTCCTTACTCTGAAGGATTTGCCATTCTACTCAATTAAAATCAAACGCTAGCTGGTGTTTTAATCTGCAAAGCCCATTGGCATTTTATGCATATCAATGTGTTAATACAATGCCTTATATAAAAACTAAACGCATTTAATACCTCTCAGCGTGCAACACGTGCGCAAATCCGTATGTGGGATAAATGTGGGAGGCCCAAAAGGGTGTGAGCTCTTGTATGAATCTTCGTCTAAACCACTATCATACTATTGCAAAGAAATAAGCAAGAATGTACTGCTTATTTGGCTTCTTGATTATGGGCCAAACTTGTCTGCTACAATGGGCACCGTAGCTCTGCTAATCTTTCCTTTCGCGGCCTTACCTTTCTGCCCCAATGAAATAAACGTCTTGAAGTACTGAACGCGAGCTTAGTCCACTGATAAATCTTACACAATATGTACAGCAAACCCCTCTTCAAGTGACCGTCCAAACTTTAGGAACGGATAAAAGACAACGAGAGTGTAGTTTGCCGTTTATTATTTTTCAAACACTGAACAATTTTTACAAACCCTATCAAACCGTGCGTATTGTGGGGTAAAGCGCCCTCAAGCGGTATGAGGTCTATATGCAATGCAGCCTCAACTTTGGACAAAAGACGGTCCGGAGATTCGTACTGCAACAAAGTTAAGGAGTGGTTATCATGTTTGAAAAGCAAACACCCATGTGTCAACCGGACGAATATTGCAAAAGAAACTTAATTATTCATTAACGCTCTAATAACACGCAGTCAATAAACGTGGGCCCAGTCATCTTTTTTCGCAGCGGTTCGCTTTCGATTTAATTTTGCAAATACAAATTTTAAAATACTAAAATTGATACAGCAGTACTAAACTTCCACGCATAGCCTGTAAATTAACCCCACCTGTTAAAACAGCGCTCTTATTAAACAGAAGGCCTACGGGCTGGAAAAGTATAAATTCCTCGGATTTTACAGTTCTGCTTCAATTAGTCTCTGGAGGACCTTCCAACCACAACAATGGAGGCGTTTCGATTCACCCTCTTCTTCTTCGCGGTAATTGGCGTAGGTAAGTAAACGATCACTTTACACTAGTTTACGCAACTCCTACTCCAAATGACTTGTGTGGCACAGTTTCGGTAGGTAAGCCTGTAGGCCCTATACTATTATAACGCAATGTAAGGGTCAATATGTTATGTGAATAACGACAAGGCATGCACGTGATGCGTTGTACTGCATTGTCAATGCTACACTGACTGATACCAAATGCAGAACAGATACTCCGCACAATCCTTTAGATATTAGTTTGTGCTTATCTTTTAGTGAGCGTCGCAGGATGTGGTCTGTTTATATTTCTGATCCTTGATGGCCTACTTCTTTACGTGAATCAATACTTAATCCAAGATGTGGCTGCACAGGAGAATTTGTTGTCTGAGACTGTCTTTTCTGCATAATGGAAATGTTAAAAGTCGTTTTAAAAGTATATCTTGAAGTATTGTGCCTTCTCATACTGAAAAAATCCCTAGGCCTATATATAGTAATCTCTTATTAAATGTTTAAAACCCTTCCAATGCTACACTGACGTACAATTTCTTCAGTGATTTACTGTTCATGTGCGAAATAAGATATAACAACAGGTAAACAGTCTTATGAAATTTTCCGAATCCAAAATTGAAACATAATAGTTAACAAAATACTCAACAACCAACTATCTTCATCACTGGTACAGAATTATACTGACTGAAAAAAAGAAAAAAATGAGTTAGAGGAAACCTATCATAAGGCTTTTTATCTCTTCTTTTGTATTACAGCCGTAGATGCTGCTCCAAATAAAAGTAAGTGTTTGTATAAAACGTCTATTTTTTTCTGCCTCTCAAACGAAGCATCTTCACCCGTTTTCAGTATTTAAAGCCATTGTGCAGTTTAATTATCACAAGGTTTGTCTGATGATATAAACAGACCCACCAGAAATTTAATCGGGCAAAGGTTTTGTGGCGGTTTCAATTCAAAGAAACTGCACAAAATCTTTGATTCAAATTCAGTACCAACATTAATAAGGGTTTATGACGTGACACGCAAGGCGCAGTCTTTTGCATACGACTATAGACCAATTCCCTTGTCATGGCACGAGTAGTTGGCTGGTGCTAATCTTACTTAAGCTGTAGTTGTCTACCAAGTACATGTATGTCCCCGTATCGTATCGTCAGAATACCCTGTTTCTGATCGACGAATTTTCACCTTGAACGATTGCCCCAAGAAGTTGAACGCTGAAGAAAGACACATCTCTTAATCAACGTTAGCTTCTGTTTTCACAGATTTTTTACATTTTAGGCAATGGTCAGTAAAAATGTGGGACGAATCCATACTCTACTGTTCTGAAACTATTGATTCTCAGGATTTTTTACTCTACCCACACAACAGATGAATATAACAATCTATGAATAAAATATACAGTTAGTCTTGTGATATACTATCTCGTATCACTTCCGTTTATACAGGAAGGCCTTGGACATCAAACTACTCATGTAAGTAAAACTTTTGACATTTTGTTTGCTGAATAACACTGAAGGCAAAATTTACATTCTGAAGGAAAGCCTATTTTCATAATAACGATAGAATTTAAATGAAAGGGTACAAAATTCAAAGTAAAGTTGACCTGAAGCTCCTTGATTGCGAGCAGATAGTCCCAAACTTCCATCGATTTCAAAATACTTGACAGTAATTACTTGAAGTTTGCTTTTATTTGATTTGCTTATAATAATTCGTAGCCGACGATTTGCAACCACTTGCGCTCCCTGTTGGGTCTGTAGTTCCTTTCCAGCATTTTTCGTTTTGGGGTATTTTCAGGTTTATTTTCACAGTTTTGAAATGCATAGCAGGTCATGATATCTGTGTCCAAGCTATATTAGCGTTGAGTGTTCGGCCATGTTTTGTAAATTGGGAACCCTTGTTTTATATCAAAACAACTTTGGGTCCTCTTCAAATCTTTAAGATTGATTGCTTAATTTTCTTCTTGTTTTCAGCCGGTGAATACAGCCATCCCATAAGTGAGTATTTTTTTATCCATGACCCATAATATGCCCAAACATAATTCACTTATACCAAACACCATAAGTGCACGTCAGAGTGCAGAAAGGGTTAGTGATAAACGTTAAGCAAATATATGTAAGGTGGAGATATCCAAAACGGTTCTTCTGAATGTTTATAAATTTTCCTATTTTGGTGTCTTTTCCCACAGTCGAGCCTTATTACGTTATTTTTTTATTCCTTTGATGTAATTTATAACATTGATGTTTCTTCATGATTACGTTAAGAACACTTTAAAATGTACTTTTTTTTAAGGCTAGACGTTTGATTTGGTGAATTAGAAACAGTACTTTTCAAATGCACAAATTGATTTTATCGTGCGTTAAATGTTCAAATTAGCATTTAGGCAAATCTGTCTCTCCGAGTACTTCCATAATGTAATATTCTTAAACTAAACCATTTTTTCCATCCTACGCCCAACAGCCGAGGAGTACTCCCACGATTACGTGACGGGTAAGAACAATTGTTCTCATCAATTATCAAGGAGAGCTTATGGTGGGCAAATGGTGTCCAACTCCATTAGTCTAAAACCATTGATTCTGAGAATTTTAACTGTACCCTCGATGAATAAAACAAACCAATATATAAATGATTCAGCTAATTAAGTTACTTGTCGAAATCTTTTTATTTTGTGTCACCTCCTTTTATATAGGAAAGCCGCGGCCATCTGACTACTCATGTATGTAAAACCTTTGAAATTTCATTTGTCCCATGATAAAATTTGAAGCAAACTTTACTTTCATTATAGTGGTAAAATTTACAGAATGAGCACTAATTTCACGTACCTCGATTTGACCTGAGGTTTTTTGGTTGAGGGCATAAAAAGTGTTAAAGTACCATTGATATCAGTGGTCGAGTTCGGGCGGCCTGTTCTTGACATAGGTTTCTTGTTCTCGCGCTCGAACGGTGGGAACACGACTCCAGAACACTGTTCTCGGAACAGGATCACACACCACCTCCTCCTCAGCGTTTTACAGGAACACACGGAAAAACTCGTGAGATTTTGATTTTTGAACAGCTGCAAAAAGTAGAGAGATGGCTTCCAAAGCCATAGACAATGGGAATATTTTGCAAAATTACCATTAATTATTTTCCATAACACAGAAATGAATGTTCCTGTTTATATAGAAAAGAATTCAACCCATCCAAACACTAACTCTCGAATAACGTAGCCTACATGGACGCCGCCATGTTGCATGTTGCTTGTCACTAACTACCAGCGATAACCAGCTGTTTGTTCCCGCCGTTCGAGCGGCCGACCCACAAACAACAAATCGAGCTGTTCGTGAACATACGGAAAAAAGCCGCCCAAACTCGGCCAGTATAGCTGACATTAATCACTCCAGGTTTTCTTTTATGTGATTTTCGGCGCAGCTGACAATTTGATAACACACACGATCCTATTCAATACATGTGTATGGGTTTTAGTTCCTAATCGGCATTTATCGTTTTTCGGGAATGTCCAGGTTCATTTTCATGGTTTTCAACACAGAACAGGTCATCTCTGCCATACTTCCCTGTTTCAAAGCCATATGAAATTTGAATGTGAACCATTTTCGGTGGACAGGAACACTTGTTTAGTGTTATATGACGTTTGGTCCTCATATCTTTTAAGCACGATTGCTTTATTTGATTCGTTTTCAGCCGACGAATACAGCCGTCCCATTAGTAAGTATTTGCTATTACAAGATCCATAACATATGTACAGTTATAATTCATCTACCAAACACAACCTTCCGAAACACCAGAGGTGAACTTAGAACTACATACATTAAACAAATTAAACACCAAATGGTAAAAATTATCCAAAAAATCTCAAACATTTTTCTCTTTTGGTGTCTTTTTGTCACAGTTGAGCCTTCGTATCCTTGTAAGTACACGTATCATTCGTTTTTACTTCCTTCTATGTAATTCATAATATTGATGCCAATCCTGGATAATTAAGAACACTTTAAAAAGTAATTTTTAAAAGACTAGTCGCCGATTTGGTAAAATACAAACAATACTTTTCAAAAGGGACCAATTAATCTTTTATGGTACATTATTTAAAATCTTCATATTTCTTGTCCCTCTTGTTCTTTACACACGGGGCTACACTGTTTTGATATACTAAGGGCTGAATTTATCTCACTTTTCATATGTACAATGTATTTGCATTAAGGCATTTTAGTCTAACAATTTACTTTCTTACGTCCGAGTGTTTGTATGATGCAATGTTCGTAACCAGTCGATATTTTTCTCCTACTTCCGACAGCTGAGGAGCACTCTCACGATTACGTGATAGGTAAGAACAGATTTTTTCCCTTGTCATCAATTATTTAGGAAAGCTTTATGGTATGCGAAATAGGCCATGTCTGTATCGAGCACCTTACGGCTCAGCTTGCCATTCAGCTTGTGATGTTTAACAGCCGTAGCCGGTGAACAACATTCAATTAGAACAGTCCTTTTCTTGTCATTGGGTTTTAATTTTAAGAGCGTATCAGGTCGTATCTGTATCGGGAAGCTTGTAGATTTAAGCAGAATGGGGACGCTGATTGAGAAAACTTCAGACAGTGAAAATGAGTTTACTGCCTTGAAAATTATGTTGAAAATGCAATTTTTCTTCATACATAGGATGGCATACTTGCATATCTCAAACGACTTTTGTAATTTATAATCTCAACTCAGTCAAAATCGGCAAGTGGAAACCCACCCGTATTTATTAGCACTCTATTTAAAGGTTGGACAATTTCAAAACGCCATAAAGACGTCGTTTTCATGTTCTTAAGGAATGTAATTCATAATACAGATATTCCTGTGTGTGATTAACTTCACCGATTTATCCGTGTGTCAGAACCCCCCCCCACACACACGCTTTTCAAATTTCCACAGCTGGTCAAGCCATCCCCTCCATAATCTTCCATTTCCTGGCAGAAATTTACGCCTCTGTAAACAAACTTTACTGGGACAATGGGTACTTTTTTTATTTAAAGTCCAGTGCAGAGCATTTTTCATTTTGGCCATCGGCTCGGTAAAACCCTTGAAAAAGGTGCAGTGCGGATTGTCTTCAGCGCTGCCAAATCGTATACCCCTCATTTATTTTAGTCTATAAATATGGGTGGTACACCTGCTTAATGGTGACTTTTTGAAATGGAAAGTCAGTTAATAAACTCTACTGCTGTTGTTTGTCTTGATTGCAACCTCATTTTCAGACACATTCTGCGATATTTACGATGTATGCCTAAACGGCGGGACCTGTGTCTCAGAGGGCCCCGATTTCGAGTGCATCTGTCCACCAAATTATTCGGGTAACATCTGCCAGAACGGTGGGTAGTGTTTTGCATTCTTGCCCCCCCCCATGATCATATCTCCTATTCAGGCTTTAAGCCATAATCATGATGCAACCTGTTCATGGGATTACGGCTTATTATTTGGCTCGTAGCCGACAACCAAAATTCAACCAGCCTTTTCTGAGTTAAATTTGAATAAAATCTGGCACACTGAGCTCTTTAAATTCATGTGAACATAAAACTTGAATTCTCCATACTAAAGCCACTGTTGCTATACCTCGTGTTTCGGATCAAGCTTTTGCTTAGTACACTGCTTTCAATTGATACGAAGGGCATAAAGGAGCCATTCCATTCAAGAGAAGGTGGTCGTCATGCAAAGGCTTGCCCCGAACCATGAGTACAACAAAAATGTCTTTTATGCCGGGGAATTCAAATTGTTATGTTTTATGCGCAATCAGATCACTCAGTGTACCTCATTTTATTCAAATTTAACTTGCAAACAGTGGCGTATCCAGCGGGGGGGGCAACTTACAATATAATACCAGCAAATAAAAGAAAGGATATCTGGACCATAAGGCTGTTGATTTTTTTTGTTCACTACAACATCATGTTGAATGAGCTCGAAGCCGCTTTCGTTTTTTAACCCCCCCACCATAAGATTGATGCGCCGCGGCTTGCAAAAGGCTTATTAGAACAGTCCTTTCTAGTCATCTGTAATTATTTAGGAGAGCTACACTTGGCGGATGAGAGAAATGAAGGCGGAAGTGTCTGCCAGAATTACCGTTCTTTTTGCTTAATCGATTGGTGTTTGCCACTGTTGAGTTAAGTTTTGTCGCTAGCTGAAACAAGATTACTTATGATTCAGGATTGCAGAGTCATCCATTGAAATGCTGATTATACAGTACTGACCTGTGAACGCTTGCTAGCCCGGACTTAATACGCTGCTTTTCTTGCGCCGTGTACAGCGTTAATTCCGGTTCATACTTCAGACGAATGAGAAAGCAAAGCGACTTTGACGTCATGACAATCTGCTACGAAATTGGCTCGAACTCAAATGTGTTCAACTTTTACGAAATCGCAACTCAAATATTGGATCTGGCCTTACAATCCCCGTTTGTTTTTGCTTTAGCACGACGTATGAACCACATGTACCGGCTTTTAAACTCGCTTATACTGAATTTTATTACCAAGTGCGTTCCCAATGTCGTGAAGGAAGACCCAAATTATAGGCGACTGACAATTCTTTTTCTGGTATTTTATTCTGATTTCTTTGAACAGAAGGAGGCAGGTCCTCGTACGATTATGCTACAGGTAAGACATGTCTTCAGCATTCGATTGTTGAAATCAGGATTCTTAGCTCGCTCGAACAAATCCTTAGTGTCAGAGTGCACTGTAAAAACCAACGCCCATTTTAAAGCGCCTTTGCTTTAACTGTAAATGTGTAATTGTTTGAAATTAATTGCTCTTTTTGGTAATAATCGTGTTTCGGTGTTCACAATGTGTTTTTCTGTCTCGTTATTATCACCCAAGTCTGTTGTCGTGCGTAATATCATTACACAATATGATGTATTTGTTTAAAAACACACCACAACATTTTTTACAAGTTTACTTCTGTCGTTTGAAATTATTTCACATGTATCATTACTGGGAGAGAACCCTGGTTGTAACTGCTAAACATGATCTTGTAAGATTGCCTCAAGACGTTGAGCCCTTTCATATGGAATGAACAACATTCTTCCTGCATTAGTTTACGTTTTCCCTTGTAATCCACATTATGGGCAGTGATCAGTGCAAGTGCAGAACGAGGTCAAACTAGATTATTCTAAAGCATGACTTCTCATGTATGTAAAACCTTTGCGTAAATTTTAGTAACAATTTCACCATAAATCATAATATAGCAAAGATTTCACCTACCCCAAACTTGACCTTAGGATTCTTGAGTGCGAGCAGATAGTCTCAAACATTCACCGATGTCAAATTACTTGACGATAACTAATTGACGTTTTCCTTTATTTGATTTGCCTTAATACTGACCTATTTCGGTGTCTTTTTTCGTAGTCGAGCCTCCGTACTCTTGTAAGTACACATTCATTTTTCTACTCCCTTCTATACCACGTACCCTTCGGTTTGGGCACCGGGGCCTGCATGCTAATCCCTTCCCCGATCGGTATGAAGGTAGATGCATCTTGATCACTGACGCTTGACAGCCTTATTCGTTTGAACTGGTTTGAACAGTAGGCAAATGAAGACCGGCCATTGGTGGAGAATTATTTTGGAACAGTTGGCTCAAATAACTGTGGAATGGAAAGAAGAGAATTGAGAACATCCCAAATGGCTTTCATTGTCATCCACCAGAGTGTGACACAGAGTCCCAGATGAGTTAATCCTGCAGGCCCGCTCGGTTCAATCCAAAGTCACAATCCCTTTCAAGATACAGGGCGGAATCAACTCAGGCGGTCCGGGAAGGGATTCTAATTGATGAAACTCCTTACATTCGTGTTATTCCTGGATTGCGTTTAAGAACACGTATTTACAGAAAATTTACCAGATTATTCATTTGATTTGCTGCATTAAAAACGAAGTTTACAAAAGGCACAGTTACCACACCAGAACTACACTGTTTGATATAATTAAGGCTGTGCTTGTCTCGCTTTAAATATGCATTTGGATTTTGGCAATCCAATTAATAAACTACCTTAATTACATCTGATTGTTCGTCTGATGAAATATTGTTAACATATCAATTTTGTCACCTTCTTCCAAAAGCTGAGGAGTACCGGTACTCTCACGATTACATGACAGGTAAGAACAATTTTTGTCCTGTCATCAGCTATTGTTTAGGTGAGCTTTATGATGGGCATAAAAGGCCGGCTTTGTTTCGGGAACCTTAGGGCTACGGCTTGTCATTAAGCTTGTCATGTTCAACAGCCATAGCCGAAGACCAAGATTTTTTATTCTGAACCGGAGAAGCAGTTGTTTTAATGTCTAATGTCGGTGCTCTTTCCTACCAGGCGAGCCTTCTGATTATCCGCATTCTGAGTCTCACAACTGTAAGTCTATTTTAATTTCGTGTTTTAGGATTCCTTGAACAGTAGCGTAGCCAGGAGAGTGCGCAGTGATAAATTTTAGCGGAATGTGGATTTTCAAAGTAAAATCGGGACAATGACGGAGCAAAATTTGGATTGTTAAAGGGGCTGAGATCGAGGAAAATTTTATCACGGAATGTTCTAGACAAAATGATGGCCACTCATCTCGTTCGATGCAAACAGCGATGAATCTATGAATTCTCATTTCTCGTTATGTCATCATCCCGCCTTTGTTTTTTTTTCAATTCAAATTCAGGTAAGGTAAGTCGCAGTTCCATTTTAGCTTAATACATAGAATGACATGCATATGTAATTACCATTCTTGTCATGTACACTCTTTGTTCAGTTGACATCTGCAAGTATGCTTGGTGCATGAACGGTGGAACCTGCGTTGCTGAGGGATATTTCGACTACAGGTGTATGTGTCCATCGGATTACTACGGCAAATACTGCGAGTATGGTATGAAAAGTTCCATTTTCTGAAGATAAGCATGTATGCTGGCGCCAGACTATTCCTAATTAGCACACGTATGCAAATTTGTGAACATGCAAACGTGCATTCAAAGGCTAATTAAACAGTTTTGACCGCCGATCGCTTGCTGGCGCCATCTAGGTTTACCCAGCGTTCTCCAGCACTGTACACTGTTAAACCAAGTTACAACAGTACTTCACAGCCAAATACAACCCAAATAATGGTTCGTGGCATGCAGTCGAAGAAATTATTGCTGATTTCTTTTCTGGATTATCTTTTTATTTCTTTGAATAGGTGGAGGCAAGCATTCGTACGACTACGTGGCAGGTAAGACCCTTAAGACTTGAAGGTTTTCATGGTGAAAGATCTATATGAGTAAAACGACTGCGGTTACACCATGGATCAGTCTCTTTCTTGAGTATGTGTGGTGCTGTGGTTCCCAGTTCTTCTCAAAACCACACATACTCAAGAAAGAGATTGATCCATGGTGTAACCGCAATCGTTTTACTCAGGTAAGACCCTGTATTCCACATTCGACTATAAATGCGTTTCCTTGGCATGGTGATAGTTGTTGGCTGCTGCAAAGTTTACTTTTGCTGTAGTTGTCTACGAAGTGTGATCCCCGTATCAACAGAATGCCCTGTTTGTAACTGATAAAGTTTTATTTTGAACGATTGCTTCAAGAAGCTGAATGATATTTCATATTTAAAGAAAGACACTTCTGCTTCAGGCAAATGCAAAAGCGAACCGAATTCTCATCAGGAACATTTGCAGTAATTTCCGCTCGACTTGCAATCGGTTCAAGTTTTGCGAATTCATTATAAATGCGTATTATTTGATCTGACGTCATTGGCGCAAATTTCTCCTGGAAAGGGGGGGGGATGGGCCAAGGTGGGACTTTTCCAGCCATGAAAATTTGAAGGGGGGGGGACACCATACTACTCTATACACAGGTCGCTGTTTATGATATTGATATACATCTGTAATTACGTATTCAGGATGGCATATTAATGGCTGTAAAACTTGCTTTTGCCTCTTTTAAATGATATTAAATACATTCCAGTCATTGGTGGTAAGAAGAACTCTTTAAATCCACTTTAATTTTTTTGCTCCGGGCCAAAATGTGAGTGTGCGTGGGGGGGGTGTTAACTCAAAAGCTCCTCCCCACCTCAAACGATTGGAGGGATATATACCCTCCTCCCTCAATACCCAGCATTCACGCCCAT